ATATTTTACTATTTATTTTCACATCCGGTACACAACAATATGTTCGCATCTCATGTGGATAAGTGATGATGAAAGAATTCAGCAGCTCAGATTTAATGATTTATTAGCTTTCAGTGGTGGAGCATGTATTCGGTTTCTTTACTTATTGATAAAAGCAGTAATACCATATGGTAACATTAGCCTACTCCATTAGCTATCAGCAAAAGTCCTGCATTTAAAATGTTACTTTCATCAAAGTGCATATTATTAGCAAAATCAACTTTAGGTTTCAAAAGTAAAAAATGGCCCCTGTGACTGTTATACTGTTATATATTAGATAATTATTTATGATGGATTAATGTGTAAGTAGAATTTTACTGTTAGTTAGTTGAAGTGGAGCTGATTTATTTCCTCTTGGCTCATTTAATCTATAGCGATGTATAATTTTCACAAGATCACTGTATATTTTGTGTGTAATATCTTAATTTGTAAAGTAACTAAGTAGACACACTAAGGGTCCTAGATCAGGGACAGTGAGCTATGTGCATCAGTGGAAGCTGTATGGATTTGTATGGGTTAATAAAATGTCCCTCAAGTTGAGTCATTTTTATCCACAAGCCTGTATCACAATCAATAGATTTGATTTGTAACATTAAATGTATTATTAAATAATTCCTACTTGATTATATAAGTTACTCAGTCTCTTTTTAGTGTGATGCTTAAGCGTTCTTTCTGCATCCGTGCATTGGACTTATGGCATGTTGATACTTCTGAGTCTGTTTGATGAGTGAATGACCTACATACAGTAACTGAGTATGTGGCATATTTCATAGCTGGTCACCCAGGTCTCGTTCTCTGTCTGTGTCTCTCACACACAATTATCATCCTAAAGAAATCTTTCCAGCTAGACAATGACCAAAGACCAAAGACCAACACACACACACACACACACAGTGTCCCAGTTCCCAGGGCGCCAGTCAGTCAGACAGCTGAGGTAAAAATAGTCTGCTGGCTAAAGTTTCCCTTGAGAGAAGCGCTCCAGGAGCGGTGACCAGCGCTCCCTTCTGCAATGTGAAAACTTTAACTAGTGGCTTTTATGTATTTTATCATTGTAAAGAAAGACTTCCAATCATAACAAAACCCACTGCCCATGTGCAAGGCACTTGACACCCTAAACAAAACTCCATCAATGTGATCTGAGGAAACAGAAAGAAAGATCTGAGAAGCAATTTTTAAGAAACACTTAAAACACTTTTATTAAGCAGTGTAATACATATCGTGTATGATACATGCATGCAAGATAAGTGACTGATGAACAAGGTTATTGATACTTAAAAAATAGAAAAGTAGGTGTTCATTAATGTCAGCTATAAACTTGGAGCCCGGTGTTAAACCTGTTAGGCCTGTGACCAACAATTATTTTCATTATTGATTAATCTGCTGATTATTTTGTTGATTCATCGTCTGAACTATAAAATGTCAGAAACCTTAAAAAATTAAAAATTAACTAATTTAAGTTACTTGTTTTGTTCGACCAATGCTTCAGAACCAAGAAATATTTAGTTTGCTATAATATAAGCCTGAGAAAAATAGTTTCAACTTTACAACATATATAAGTGCCAGAGATGAAACTGAGTTCCTATGATGCCACTGTCCAACCTGCTGCTTGCTGAGAAACAGACCAGAACACTGGTTGAAAAATGGTTCCATCTCCTGGTCAGATACAGGTATTGCAATATGTATGTAAATATAGTATGTGACTTAACTACCTTCTTCTACCTTTATTCCCAATTTAAATTGAACCTCATCACCAACTGTACGGTAGATAGGAGGCAGGAGAGTACTCATATATATGAATTTACACTGAGCTTGGGCAAACCACAGGAGTGATTTCGAGCACGCTGTTAGAATCATGTTCAAGGACACCAAAAATAGGGTAGAGTTTGGGTCTGCTTAAATTAGCACCGGCCATAGAATAGAGAAAAGTTTTTAGTGCTGGCGCGGTCTCTGTGAAGGTACATCCTGAGTACGAGAAGATCAGAGTCCTGGCCTCTACGTCATAGAAGGAGACCTCTCCCTTCTCATAATCGACAAACACACCAACTGTATCAAGCCATTGCCTAAGGTTCATGTGCCCAGAGGGAGAAATATAGGCATGATATTCTTCTCTGAATTCGCAGGACAGTTTAAAAAATGTCCATGCTCCCTCTTCAGGGGTTAGAAAGAACGTTGTCTCCCTGTTAATGGACTCTTTAACCACTCCCAAGAGCCAGCATTTACTCCCACTGACCCGAACCTCATAGTAGAACCTGCCTGAGGAAAAACCATCTTTCCCAAGGACAAAGGGTTTATATTCAAATCTTCTCCTGAATAAAGTGGGAAAAGACAGCAGTCCATCGTTAAATCTCAGTTGTTTCCCATCCTCAGACACCTTGAGTCTGGAACTGGCTGTGTACGCGTCCAGAGTCACATCCACCGCATCACACTGCTGGATCATCATCAGCTTGTCCTGAGGCGGATTCCACACTTCTGTAATAAACTTATCTGTCATCGGGTTTTCAGCCGCATCAGCTTGTGTAGCTGCCTCACAGCCGTCAGACAGCCTGACCTCATGATTAAGCATCTCCATCTCATTACTGAGTGTCTTCTCCATCTGAGCCACAGCTTTTTTCACCATCCCCACATAACTCTGTCGACTGATGTCTGAGAGGTCTAGTGTAGATGGAGGGCTGGAGTGGGACAGAGGGTCGAATAGCTCCTCAGTGCGAGGAGGAGAGAGGAGAGCTGGACAGCTCTGCAGCAGGCGTAGGTGGTCCTCTGTTTGCAAAAGTTCCTTCATTTCGGATCTTCTCCTCCTCAGCTCAGCGAGTTCTTGCTCCAGCTGTGTCATGTGGTCTTCGACCTGCTTCTCTGCTGCTTTCTGCTTCCCCTGGATCAACTCAATCAGCTCAGCCTGGCTTCTTTGCAGAGAGACCACCAGAGCAGTGAAAGCCTCGACAATGTCTGCTATCTCTTTCTCTGACTCTTTCTTGCTCTTTTCAGCTGAGTATTTGATTTCCTTCATACTCCTGGATTTAGCGCTTTCCGTCATTTTTATCTCTGACATCGCATCAACCAGCCAGGCTTTCTTCTCTCTTAACGCGTGCTCTAATGGGACGACTTCATGGGTTGCATGATTGTCTTTCAAGCACATATAACAAACACACGTCTGGTCCCTGTGACAGAAAAGCTCAAACATCTTGTCATGCCTCTTACACACCCTGTCTTCCAGGTTTAACACAGGATCAATCAGCTGGTGCTTCTTAAGGTTTGTGACTCTCTGATGAGGCTCCAGATGAGACTGGCAGTACGAGGCCAAACACACCAGGCACGTCTTCTGGGCCTTGAGCTTTGGCCCGTGGCAGATGTCACAGGGCACCTCCCCTGGTTTGGCAAGGATGCCATCTTCAGCCGTCACCCTCATGCTGTTGAAGTGCTCCACCATATCTCTAAACCCTGTGTTGACCTGAAGCAGTGGTCTACTGAGGAACGTCTTCTTACAAAGGGGACACTGTATCAGGTCAGTGCTGGCCCAGTACCGTGTGATACAAGTCTTGCAGTAGTTGTGTCCACATGGAGTAGAGACAGGCTCAGAGAACACATCAAAACAGATTGAACACAGTAGCTGCTCTTCACATGGGAGGCTGCTGGCTGAGGCCATGTCTAGACAAGAGGAAAGGATGGAGGAATAGGATTTTTAAATGTATCATTGTAGATCAAGATTGTAAATGAAGTAGGAGGTTGGGTTTTTTCGGTGTTCAAAATTCTTATTGCATCTGTCCATTTGACCTTTTCTTGCTAATAGTATCCAACAGATTATAAAGGTCAGAGCATGAAAAATAGCATTAAATCCTGTTGTAGATATACTGTAGGTAGGATTCAATGTGCAGTTTTTGCACATTGTTTTTTAGTGTATGCCACTGAACTCTAACAAACCAGCAATGAGCTTCACTAGATGACTCACTTTTAGTTATTTATTTCTATTTTCTGTGGCATTTTATGACTTTATTCAAGAACTGACAGTAGAGAGTTGACATGAAATGAGGGCAGAGAGAGTCTGACCCATATATTAATCAGACATATGGGTATCGTATCGTATATATGTATATTGTAAACATGTGCAGTGTACACCGACCAACAACTACAGTAAAGACAGTGCACAATTAATGTTGTGCCCTCAAACATTTTGACCTACAATAACATCACAGTGAGTTAATCTTTCAAAGCTCACCATTTTCACTGATGAAAACAGTAACACAGCAAGAATTTCCTGTGGAAAATAACCAGCGGAAATGGCTGCAGTCAATTAGACCTAAATGGCATGACAACATAGAACGTCGGTGTGATGGTCTATAGTCTGTATAAGTAAGTACTGTATACTGTATTTATGCAACTTAATACTTCTACTTCTCAGAGGCAAATACTGTAGAGATACTGTAGATTTTAGAGCTATGTGGTTCTCATAGGACAGTGACACCACTAACAAATGATGGTCTTATAGAATATGATGTATTGCTGTAGATTAAACTATGCAACTATACATAAAGTAGTTCAAATTAGTTACTCCTTAAACATTTACAGCTGTACAATTTAACATATATATTACCATGATAATAGAACACTGACAGGGACCATTGTCCTGCATAATTGAGTGCTTTTGATGAAGTAGATTGTGGTGATAATATTTATATACTTTTACTTAAGTGAGGTTTTGTATGCACAGCTTTAGTTGGTGTTATACTGATACTTGTATTAAGGGATCTGGATACTTTTCCACCACAGTCTTTGGGAAGTAGCCATTGTGAGAATCTCAGGATGGATTATTACTCTTACAATGACATGCTGTCATTATTTACCCCTTAAAAAAACAACATTTGAGCTCTACAGCAATCATGTTTAAAACCGCGATAGCAATAAAATTAGAAATGTGTAATTAGCAGCCTGATTCAATAAAGGAAATACAGGAGATCCCCAATCTCAAACAGTTATTGGAACATTTTTCATCTGGACTCAGGCTGTTCTTTGAAGTTACATTTAAGCTCAAAGTATTTGCCAAGACATTTATATAGCCCCTACAACCTTCTCTAATTATATGGTAACAGGAAATGTCAGATCAGAAAAGGAATCAAAGCACTTGAACCTTACCTGCAGAGATGTTAGTCTTGTCTGTGGAAGTTAACGTTTGGGAAAAGTTTCCTTTTAGGCATGTAGTTTCATTTCCTGGGAATGACACTCTATCCCTCCCTCCTCTTCCCCTCCTCTCCCTGGAAAAAGTTACTAAAGCTGACTCTAGCAGCACTGCGCATTTCCCTCAGACACCATTTTTGGAACATTTTCTTTATTATTCTCTTTTTATTTTATTAGTCAGTTTTAATCATTAATCTTTTCAAAGTTTTCAAAAAAGTTTTCCTCCTAAAACAGCAACTTATACCTTATTGCACAAAACAGACAAAAACAAGCAAGTCATTACTCTTTATTACTATAGCCCATAGTGTTTTTATCTTATTTGTCCTACAATATGTTTCCTGTAAAGTCAGCCAACATCAGCAAGTTGCTCTAGAACTTGACCTCTGACCTTAATGTGATAGGGCAAGCAGCTTTGTCCTTATTACATAAAAAAGGTACCAAACATTCAGAATCATAACAAAAATATTTCATGCTTCTTCTTTTTTTAAATGTGTTTAAATTTGTTGGTGTTGTTTGCTGACGTGAGGAGCTATTAGATGAGGCTGATGTTGATGAGGGATGCTTTTATGATCCTGGCTTGTATTGGATACTAGATGTCACCATTACCTGATAAAAGCATGTAAAAGGAGGGCACTCGGGCCTTTCCAGGTCATATTATGCACTTGCTTCATATAATTAACTCAGAGAAAGTTTTTTTTAATTATAATTTTGAATATATAAAGTTATTTAATCATAAAATAAGCTTGTGTTAACATCTTAGACAGAACTGGTAAAACCAGATTGTTGTATAGCTATCAGTTGTTAAGGCAGAAGGTCCACTACATGTAAGCATATTATGAGATATGGTGAGTGTGTCTGTATGGTAGTGCAGTCTAAAGGTGTAATAAGCAGCAAAGGTGTGTATGTGTGTGGGCGTGTCAGTGAATGCGCATCATAAGCCATGGAAAGTGTCCAGTGCGCTGCATGCCGAATGTACTGATGAAGAAGTTGAGGACTGTGGTGATGAAGACTATGATGGTCGTTACGTTGTTCAGGTAGTCCAGACGTTTCTGCAGGGCGCCGTTATTCAGGTCCCGACGGCCTGTGACACACACACACACACACACAGAAAAACACACACACACAGTAGAGACAGAGAGGGTTCAAACTACACTTGATTCACTGAGAGAGACTTCTAGTTTGGCCAGAATGCTTTAAATTTTGATTCCTTTAAAATGAATGGACACAATGAAAGAGGCTGCTTTAATTCTCCCCTTCAAACGTTGACATCTTCACATGCATGGACACACTCACACACACTATCAGCCACTTCATTTCCACCCTACTTTGCATTCACTCCTCAGCAAAAAATACAATAAGCACAGCATAGGCTTCTGTTAAATCACTACATTTATTCTGGACGAGAAAGTATATTAGAGGGATGTCTCATTTATATTACCCTGTTTTTTGTCTGGTATTGAACCTCAGAATCTTTTTCTATATTCATTTTCATGTAAAGTGTAAAACAGTTTGAAATACACACAATGGAACATTTTTTTTGAACATTATTGCAGCAAATAAAACAATGCATATTTACACAGATATGCAGTTGGTTAAAGTGAAAATATTTTAGTTGGGTTACAGTATGAGTCATTTTTCGAAGCCTAAATAATAAATAAGATGTAATGCTTGAACATCTGTGAATTGTTTGTCTCAACTTTATAAAATGAATGTACGGGTGCGCATTCATTTTTAGCTTAAATTCTACTTTTAATCAATATGTCTAACTGTGTGTGTGGATGCAGTTGGTGTGTGCACGTGTGTAAATGTATCTGATATATGGGTACATGTGTGCTTTTGTGTGTGTGTGTCAGAAATGGAGTCGAGCCAGCAGCCAGCGGAAGAAGCCAGTCCTCTTGGATCCGAAGAAGCTGACGAAGAAGTTGATCACCGTGGTGAGGAAGATGACGCCTGTAGCGAGGTTGTTCAGGTAGTCGAGTCGTTTCTGATTGGACACCACGTTCAGGTCCCTGCGGGCTACATCACACACACACACAGACAGACACACAAACACACAATTTCAAACGTTTCAAACACATCCACCCACATGCACACGTACAGTTGATGCAGTCATGCTTACACTTACATACACTCACAATGACCACCCCATACAAATAGTAATGTACCCATACAAACAGCATGTACTTCAGTCACTCGCCCTCCAACCTAATTTGTATTTTAAAACTCCACATTAGAGATGCTGCCCTTCCACCAGTGGAATTTGGAAGTTTGGGCAATCTTCAGGTTCAAGCCAAGAACCCCCAGCTGTTCCAGTCCAACACTGAGAACATCTTGTAGACTGAAATAAATGTGGACATGGTGTCTGTTCTGTACTCTTCTGAAGTGACATTTTGAACTATTATGTGTGGTTTTACTGTCACAAAGCACACATTTTGAGCCTGGAGAGCTGGCACAAAAAAGCGGCAAACACACTTTTCCTTAAGGTGTTTTCAGACTGAAGCTGATATCAAGTGGCCAATTGTGGTTCAGCATCTCAAAGGAATGGTTCAAAATTTTGGGAAATACTATACACTTTCTTGCCAAGAGTTAAATGTGAAAATGTTTCCACTGTCATGTCTGTATAGTAAACATTAAGCTGGTTTCCAGTCTTTGTGCTAAGCTAATTGGCAGCTGGTGGTAGCTTTATGTATGTAAAGGTGTGTCATGCTAAGGTAATATGTAGCATTTTGTGCATGAACGTATGTGCAGGATTTCAAATGTCTGCACTTTGGCACCATCTGGTGGTAGTATCAAACATAGCAATGCATGCAGCTTTTCACCTGTTTTTACTTTAAACATGCAGGTTTATGCTCAGTTTTTGTGTATGAATGTACATACAGTGTGTGAATGTGCCTAATAGGGGGTGTTTCACAGAATGAAACGCTGAAACAGCCATCCCAGCAGCCAGCTGCGTTGTGTGCCGAAGGCGGCTTTAATGATGTTGACGATGAGGGTGACAAAGATGATGCCGGTGGTAAGATTGTTCAGGAAGTTTAACAACCGCTGATAAGAAGGGAAGAGGGTCAGCTCAAAGCGAGCTGCACACACGCACATACACACAGAACACACATCACACACAGACAACAAGAACACACACACACAGACAGAACACACACACACACACACACACACACCTAGTTGGTCCTTTGGCCCAGTCCATTCATACTGAATAAAATCATATAAAGACATCAGAGTACAGTAATACTGTAGTTGATTAGTACTTTAAGTAGAACAATAAGTCTGAACAAGTTCTGTGTGTGTGTGTGTGTGTGTGTGTGTTTACAGATTCTGTGTTGAATGTGTCAAAGTCTTTCCCTACTTTCCAAACAGATCCACACATGAGAGTCATTCCCTACATCAGTAAGTCAGAAATGCATCCTGGCAAAGAGGCCGGTGCGCTCCATCCCGAAGACGGTGATGAAGATGTTGGTGACGAAGATGAGGAAGATGATGATGGTTGTGGTGTTGTTCAGGCCGTCCAGGCGCTTCTGGTTGTTCTCTTCACTGACGTCTCGCCGGGCTGCAACAAGCACACACGTGTACACACACACACACACACACCAAAAATAACAAAAAAACAAAAAGGGGCAGGAAAGTATTCCACTATATATATTTACTTTTATAATCCTTTTATATTCATTCATTGTTTTGTTTTTTTAATGTTGCACATAATATATATGAGACAGTGACTGGACTTAAGTGCCTGCATGATAAATCGATGTGTCAGTGTATGTTAGTATGTTAATATGATTGGTTAAAAACATGGAGGATGGATGTCTGAAGGAGGTCGACTAACGCCTGCGATGTGATTGGCTCACCAATGATGATGATCAGGACTCCAGCCACTATCTGGAGAGCCAGGGAGAAAGAGATGAGGGTCAGGACAGCAATGTAGTACCTGAGGAGGAGAGGGGAAGAAGTTATGCAATATTTATTTATTTCCTTATTTAAATGTTGTTTGAGGTAACAGTAAATGTGATTATTTAGAAGCTTGAATTCTGATAAAACTCTATAATATTAGGAGTATGAGGGTAGAATGTTTGTTAATTCATTCATTGTTGCCCTCTCATGCAAACATGCTGTACCTGTATCCAGCTCCCTGTTCGATGACAGTCTTCATGTGTGTGATGTTAGCCAGGAACAGAGCGATGTCCAACATGCCCTCCGCTGCGGTCTTCTTAGTGGCATACAGGTTCATGTTCAGATTAGAGGCTGAACCTCCCTGAAGAAGAGTCAGATATAGATTTATAGTTAGCCCTTCCCTCCCTTTGCTTCAAGCTTTACCTCTGACTGACCAGGAGAGGGCAGCAATGACCAAGAATATCACCACAGGGTAGCACCAGGAAAAAAAAAACTGTCAGACGATATAATATATGTGTGTTCATTGTTTTCTTTATTTATTCTCACTACATAATGCAAGCCAGAAATGTGATTAATGAAAGAGTCACTGTCAAAGTCAACAAGATACTGATTCCATCTGACAGTGTGTTTAGCATCCAAAAGAGAACAAATCTAACTATTGTTTATAATTGATCATACATCACTGTAATTTTTTTTTTTTTCATCATACAAATTGTAGTGTCACTCCACTGTATTCCAGGAGGGATGAAAGAAGTGTTTCTTTTATTTTGGCTTTTCGAAAACATTAAATTCCAAATGTTTCCCTCGGTTCATTTATCATGAGAGCTCTAACTGCAGCTCATTTTCCAGGGGTTGGAAGTAGTTGTTTTTAGAATGATAAAGAGTCGCACTTTGTTGCACACGAGAGATTTTCCCAAATTGACTGTGTGTGTGTGTGTGTGTGTACGCATGTGCATGTGCTCCACAAGACAATCCTTTGATAGAGAAGCAGGAAATAACAGGTGAATAGAAAGGACAGAATTGTTTTTTGTGTGCATAGCCAAGATAAGAAGAAAATCTTTAATATAATTATTTAACTAATAGCACATGTCAGGGACTAACATTTTTTTGATTTTATTATTTTTCTGCTATAGTGCATGGACTGCAGATTCACATATTGGATAACTTAATAACACTGGGCTATAGATTAAGGTATTCTGTCCACAAATGGATCATTTTGCCGGAGGCTGTGTCATTGCAGTCTGAATAAGTGCTGTCTGTTTTTCTTTAGGCTGCACAGAAACTGAGATGTGTTTAAGGAAGACATTGATCACATATATGAAGTCAGTCATGTGCACACTGGGGACACATTGTGCTTTATGACCTCACTCATCTGTAATGTGTTTCAATGCTCCAAAACAAACAGAATGTCAACACTGTACATGTACAGTAATTGTTTAACACTGCAGCCTTTTCTGTGTGTGTGTGCTGCCTCTGTTTTTATAGGATAGGCCTACTGTGTTAAAGCACCAGAACCGGAGCCTGGCGGG